TTTTCATGAGTTCTTGTAATGGTCGCTTAAGGTCAAGAAACCATTTAAATTTGGGGGAGTTTGATCAGTAGTTTTTACACATATATTTAGGATTTATTTCAATTATCGTTTCTTGTTCTTATCGAGGTTTTATTTCGTTTTATCGCATATTATGTATTGGTTTTATGTTTTAGGGTTGAGAAGAATAAAACAGGACAAATCGGGGAAGAAAGAAATGCATAACTCAATGTTTTGGAGGAAATGCTACAGGAGCCTTGACACGGGCCATGTCGCCTGACACGGGCCGTGTCATGGGAAGACTTGGAAAATGTGGAAAATAAGAGCTGACACGGGAGGCCGTGTCGCCTGACACGGGCCGTGTCAGAATGCTTGGAGCAGAAAAATTCCTGATGACCAACACGGGCGGTCGTGTCGCCTGACACGGGCCGTGTCGGCCAGTGACGCCGATTTTAAGTGTTTTTATGATTTTTCACTATTGGGGACCCAAAGGGGCGTTTTGGGTATTTCCGACCGAGACAAATGGATTGTTCATTATTTAGCCAAGTTTGAAAGAGAAATTAAGGGACCTTTGTGGCAGAGAACACATTCTAGAGTCTAGGATTGAGTATATGAGATTCTTGAAGAACATAGATCTTTCATGAGCGGACGCGATTGAAGACCAAAGTTCCTTCATCATCTGTAATGTCTAATTCTTATATTTTTGTAATTCTCGTGAACAATATGAACGACTGAAACCCCCAACGCTAGGGAGTGTTCTTGATTTGAATTTGTAATGATTATGTATTGTGTAACTTATGTACTATATTATGTATTGTGTATTTTGGTGGATTTTCAACCTTATGTACTTTGTTATGTAGCGCCATAACATCAAACTGATGTACTATTTAGTGTACCTTAAAAACATCTAAATTTTGATTAAATATTATTCGATTTTAATGTCATGAAAGATTTCAAATTAAGCCAAATTAAGGCAATACAAAGTAGTTTATAAACACTATTACTATGCCAAAATTTTACACAGAGCCAAATGGATACTATGCCAAATTTCCAAAAATCCAAGTGTTACTATGCCAAAATGTTAACAATTGTTTAAAGAAAACCAACATTTCATTAACACAACAAAATCAATACATAGATTTCTATAAAACTACATTTCATTAACAATTACATTTCAAAATAAGATGCACATTAAACATTTACGAAACTAAAAAATAAAACATTTTCGATTTTTCAGAAAATTATTCCGCTTTCAGTTTGATCTTCAGATTCTTGTTCTTCTTCTTTATATCCTCTTACAATTGTTTCAAATATCCCATAGCTTCCAAGTCTGAGCTCAAAATGCTCTCATCTTCATTCCCAGTTTTTTTCTCGAATGTCTTCATCTCATGTGAACAAATCACACGTCTTATCACTCTTCCAAAAGGGACATCTCCAAAACAACCTTTCTTTATTCGGTCCCTTCTTGTATTGGTATGAAAGCATTCGACTATGGCATCCACAAAAATGTCCATCTCGAGATTTTATAGAAGAAGAAAATGAAATGCCTTTGGTTGAGTTTGTCATTGAAGGAGACATTAAAACGAGTTGGGTTTGGCGTTGTTGAAAGGACTTGATTTATATAAAAACGATGAAGGCACGATGAAGGAGATGAAAAAAATTATATATTAGAGTAAAATCGGGGGGAATACAACCTATTTATCCACATATTTGAAAAGCCACACTAAAAATATAATTTTTTTTATCAGATTAAATTAAAAAATAATTAATATTTTATTCACGTGGACTGCAACATCAGACTCCGTTAGCCTCACTTGACATCGAGGATCAATTGTATGGATGGAAATTTTTTGGAGAACGATTCTTTGAAGAAATTTTTTTGAAGGACTAAAAATAAATTTTAATATATTTATGAGAACCAGAAAAATATTTAACTTAATATTTAATTTATCTATATAAATATATTATTTTTTAGATTTTGTCCCTCTATTTTTATATTTACGAGAAGAAATATTCTTACTCTTAATTTAAAAGAGTTATCTAAATTGTAATCCTTGATTTTCATTAATCTAACAGTTTTAATTGTTTCTAAAAATAAATAGATTAAATAATTAATTAAATATATTTAAAATAAAATTAAATAAAATAAAAGATATTTAAACAAAAAAAAACTAAACAAATTTTTTTTACTAATCCAAAACAAAAATAATATATTACAGATTTAAATCTTGAGTCTAAGAATAATGCACTGTTAATATAAAATAATTTTACAAATATAACTAATTAAAACTCTTATATTTATTAAATCATTTCAGTATTTTAAAAATAAAAATAAAATTTTATTGTAATACATATCTCTTATTAATTCGCAATGTAAAAAATATTGTATACTTTTTTTTTTGTCTTAAATCTTTTAGTTTTTGAAATAGATATATATTCTTTACTCAACTAATCAAATGTTACCACGAAACACCTTTATTTTTTTATTTTTTTTTTGACACAACCTCAAAAACCTTAATTAAAATTCCAAGAAAGGGTAAATGAAGCAAACAAGAAAGAGATATACATATAGTTAAATGAAACGTAAAATTAAGTAGTCCAATATAACAAGTGAATCGAGAAGTCACAAACAAACAAAAAAATAAAGAAAAAAAATCATGTAAGAAAAATGGGTGTTGTTATGTTTGGGAATTGGGACACCAATTGATGATAGTTGTCAATTTCAATTTTCCTTCTTAACACAAAAATCTAATCAAGTCCACGGTCACTATTTTTCTCCTATAATTCCATTCCGTGGTTTTTTATTAACCTTAAACCTTGTTTTATCACTCTTCAATTCTTCATTCTTCAACCTCTAACTACTCTAATGGCTCTCTCTGCAACGTTCATCACTCCTTCACCTTCAAGTTCCAACCTTTACGCCAAAATCCGAAAACCCTTTCTCTCTCACTCTGTATATCTTCTTAAACCCCTAAAGATCCGAGCTTCAGCTACCCTAAATTATTCCAACGTCAACAATAAATCTTCCCCATTGAAGGTTAGAATTAAACTGTGTCAAAATTATTGCCATTTTACTTTATTTTTAATTGCAATTGGTTTTCATTTTATGATTCATAATTCAAAGATGGATGCAAATTTCTGAGGTTTGTGTTAAAACTTGTTGAATCTTGCATGTTTTATATTCTATCAGACTAGCAACTGGCAGTGGAAACTCAAGGACAATTTAGTAAATATTTATTATGAGGAACATGTGAAGGAGAGTCGGGAGCCTTCCCAGAATATCTTGATGATGCCAACCATTTCTGATGTTAGTACTGTTGAGGAATGGAGATTAGTTGCTCAAGACATTGCTCAACGGAATGGCAGTGTCAATTATCGTGCAACTATTGTTGATTGGCCTGGTTTAGGTTATTCTGATCGTCCCAAGATTGATTACAATGCGGATGTTTTGGAAAAATTTCTGGTTGATTTTGTTAATTCACCAGATGGTCCGGTAAAACAATCAGGTACTGTAATGGCAGTAGTGGAAGATATTATATTTTGCAATAACTTCATTGTGCTGAGTTATATGTTGACATAGAATTAATACTTGTTTTGAGCTGTTTCGATTGATATATATTTATATATATTTTCTGCGTGTATTTTTAGTTGAGATGTTTATGTACTAAAAATCTACTAGTTCACTAAATTGGATTATGTATTTGAAAAATGCTGCTATCTCTTTCATGTACTGATGTTGTTGGTGTTAAACTAGACAATGATTTGGTGATTTTTGGAGGAGGACATGCTGCTTCCATAGTAATCCGTGCTGCAAAAAAGGGTCTTGTGAAGCCCAAAGCTATAGCTGCTGTTGCACCAACTTGGTCTGGTCCCCTTCCTATTGTGTTTGGTCGAGATTCCAGCATGGAAACAAGGTACTATAGTGCTTCTCTTTTCAGCGGTCAAGTCTTTTTCCTCCCTGATTCGTTACTGTAACATTGATTTCTTGTTTCTTAATTATAGTCGTGTATATAATTGCTTATTCTCATTGAGATAAAATGCTTGGTGTCGTTAACTTGTTTCTATTTGTTCTCTCTTCTCTTTAAACTCAACAGATATGGTTTTCTAAGAGGCACCTTAAAAGCCCCTGCAGTTGGATGGATGATGTATAACATGCTTGTGAGCAATGAGAATGCAATTCAATCACAGTACAAATCTCACGTTTACGCGAACCCTGATAACGTGACACCGGCAATTGTTGAAAGCAGATATGCATTGACAAAACGGAAAGGAGCACGTTACTTACCCGCAGCTTTCTTGACTGGGCTACTTGATCCTGTAACATCTCGTGAAGAGTTTCTTCAACTCTTTGCAGATTTGGAAGGAAAGATTCCAGTATTTGTTGTATCAAGCAAAGGGTCTCCTAAAAGGTCTAAAGCTGAGATGGAAGCTCTTAAGGGAGCTAAAGGGGTGACCAAGTTTGTAGAAGTGCCTGGTGCTCTTCTTCCACAAGAGGAGTATCCTGCGGTAGTCGCGGAAGAGCTTTATCAGTTCTTGCAACAGTATTTTGGCTCTGTTGCTTAAAGTTGGCACGTCATGTGACACTTCTGTATGATGGTGGTGAAGGTTTCACGGACATTAATCGAAGTAGGAAAGAAAGACAGAAATGTGACTATGGGTATACACATTTATACAGTGTGGTTTATTTGAATTTTTAACTAAACTTTGGTGGTGTTATGTGTTTTATACAGATGCTAAAATCATTTCCGAAACGACTGTTGATTTGAACACAACTTCTAGTGAAATTTAAGTGTTTCCACAAAAGCGGCATGTTTCATTTGAGATTGATTGTTTCTACATATGAATTCTCATACTAAATATAAATTGCTTCCAAAATTTTAAGATGAATTTCTACATCTTGAGGTGCTCTAAGATGTAGAAATAACTTTGTCTTGGTATAAAGGAGCATCAATGACTTTGACCACCCCTTTGAGAGTCTCTTGGTTAGCATCATCCTGATTGACATGGTCAGCATCCTTGGTATGAATGGTATCATCATCACAAATTTTCTGTGTCGAATCTTACATATTCAAGGTCAGATTGCTCATATGAGAAAAATAATTGAGCAGTCCATAATCTCGAATAAAAAAAGGAATTTCTTGAACACGCTTAGGCAATCATTCTTGAGCATCAATCCGTGGAGGAGGAAAATTTATTTCGAAGGTAACCACAATGAAAGGACATACTCGAGTGGTTACACTAGTCGGAAGGGCATTAACCTTTTTCTTTTGTTCGAAGTTCCTATAGTGTTATTTGTTCGGATTTTCTCTTCATAGAAACCCTAGAAGGTTCATCATATTGTCAAGACACAACTCTCGCAAGAGAAAAAAGAAGGTTTCAAATGAATGATTAAATGTGAAGTTGGAAACACATAAAATACCTTTTTGGCAGAAGCCTAGAACCCTTAGATGAGATTGTAACTTTACAATTGAAAATATAAATCAAGAAATCAAAGAAAAAAAGAAAAAAATTCAAGATATATAGCATATCATTACATGAGGAGAGATTGAGTGAGTGTCAAAAGAACTGAATTTGATTTTTGACTTTTCTTTTGAGTGACATCTTCTTCAAGAAACGAATCAATAACCTCTAGAGGTGCTAAAGTTCTTTTCTTTTTCTTTTTTGTCTTTAAGTCAATAGGTTTTACAAATTACATAAAAGTAAATTAAGGAGTTCCATTTTGAAACCAGAAATATGAAGAGTTGCGGAAGCTGCGGTGGAGGAGAGCTTCCGATACGACGGGGCAGAGGTGTATTTGTAAGGTTAGTACTCTAACACTCAAGTCAGTATGTGAATGATGAGAGAGTATTCAAATTGTGTTTGAAACTTGTTACTTGAAATGACGATATTCCATATATACAAGGAAGAGGAATAATTACCTCGTTGTCTTTCAAGCGTGGAATGCGGAGGACCGTTGGATATGCCTGAGACATGAATCCCCTACAGATAGATGGGCACACAATATTTCAGTGGTTAGGAAAACATTCTAGAAGTCGACCAAGTGCATAGTAGGTATGTTTGAACCTGGGGTATTTCGTATTAAGGTAGCCTGATTCATGGAGACATGACCTAATCAAGGTAGATATGGACGGTCCAGAATAGTTTCCCCTCAATCCCTCATGCTTGAAAATTAGTGTGAAGGTTCAAAAGACTTTAGTCACCGGTTAACATCCATACTTTCCTATGCTTCCACCGTTCGTAATTCCATATGCATTTTCGGAGGAGTGATTATGATCTTTCTAGGGAATCAGAACACTCGAGTATTACGTGTGAGAGGAGTGATTGTTGATATGTGATTAGTGTATTTTGATGCACAATTTCTATATTTGTACTTAGGTATTTCCACAACTTGTTTTGCTTATTTTTCAGTTTTATTGTATTTTCATATTCTAGTTTATTTTTGTCTTTATTTGATTTTTCCTATTTTATTTTCAGCATTAGCAGCTTTCTATAAAAAATCATAACTAAATCTACGAGAATCAGATTGATGCATTCTGATATTTGTTGGAAATTTAAGAGAAAGATCTACAAGTTTCATGTTGAAGGCAAAAGCTGATTCGGAGTGTAGAAGCCTCGAAAAATTTGTTGAAGTTCCATACTTAGGGAATAACTATTTTTGGGGCCGTTTTTTATGTTTTGCGGGTCGGATGCTATTAGAGTCCAAATTTCCTCTTATTATTTAAACAAACTTTAGAATTATGGTTCATATTCTATTGACTATTCATTAAATTTTCATACTCTTGGTACGCTTTGTAATGGAGAACTAATTCCAAGGGATTGATCTGTTGTAATGGGTTTTCGCCGACAACTTTGAAGTTCTTATAATTTTCAATAAAAATCTATTTCCTTTCAATTATTTTCTTTGATATTTTGTTTGCTTAATTCGATTTATCTTAGGATTGATTAATTTATTTCGATGATTGCATGTTCCTATAATTTAATCGCGTTTGCTTAATCGATATTTATTTATCGTGTTTCCTTAATTCACGCCTGTTATATCTCATTCGTTTGTTTAATTCGGAAATTAGGAATATATATATATATATATATATATATATATATATATATATATATATATATATATATATATATATATATATATATATATATATATATATATATATATATATATATATATATATATATATATATATATATATATATATATATATATATATATATATATATATATATATATATATATATATATATATATATATATATATATATATATATATATATATATATATATCTTGTAATATCAATTGTGCTTGTTGATTGTTATTATAATTGAAAAGGGAATAAAGTCGCTTAGGAATTGAGAATTATTTGAGTCGATGATAAATTGGGAAACCAAAATAGTAGATTAATTATTTTGGCTTATTTTGATAATCACTTATTTGCACTATTTTTCTTAATCGACTAAACCCCCCATAATCATTTTCAGTTGGTTAAAAATCGTACAAGAATCCTTGTGATACGATACTCGAGTCATTGTCGCTAACTGCAATTTTAAAATTACTCGTTTTGATCCGTGCGCGACAGCGAACCAAATTGGTGTTGTTGCCAGGGATTCTTGTCAAATTAGTCAATAGTTTAGTTTTAGGTATTGTGTGTTTTGTTGTTCTGTATTTTTTTGCAGTTTCACGCGTTTTCGTGTCTAGACGTCCGACCTAGCCTGAAAAATCGGTTTTTGGAAAAATTGTGTTCGACTGTAAAAAAAAATTGCCCAAGGGGAGCACAAAAGTCGTGCGATCACTATTTTTTCTATTTTTAATGAATTTTTTTACTGTTTTCACAGTTTCGAAAAAATCTCAAAATTCTTATTTCAATTCATTAGATGAAATTTTGTGTTTTTGTATTTTTTTTAAATTTATTTTAATTGTATTTCTTTTTTTTTTCTATTTGTTTCTGCCTATTTGGGACATAGTTGGTACTTTCGTGTTTGTTGTTACATGACTGATCAAAGAACATTAAGGCAACTTGCTGCTCTTGATGTTATTTACAATGGTTTGTGTATTAAATATTTTGATGTTGCTGCCTCTTTTGAGTTAAAATCTGGTTTAATACACTTGTTGTCAAGGTTTAGTGGTCTTGTAGGTGAGGATCCGCATAAGCATCTTAAGAAATTTCAGGTTGTTTGTTCTACACCATTGAGGCCTGAGGGAATTACAGAAGATCACATCAAGCTGAGAGCCTTTCCATTTTCACTACAGGGCACTGCCAAGGATTGGTTATATTATCTTGAGCCTAATTCTATTACAACTTAGAATGATTTGAAGAAAGTCTTCCTACAGAGATACTTTCTTGCCTCCAGAGCCGCATCAACTAGAAAAGAAATATGTGGTATTAGACAGGATAATGAGTCATTAGCTGAGTATTGGGAAAGATTCAAGAAATTAGTATCCAGTTGTCCTCAACACCAGATCACCGAACAGTTGCTTATTCAGTACTTTTATGAGGAATTGTTACAGATGGATAGAAACATTCTTGATGCTGTTAGCGGTGGAGCACTTGTTGATAAAACTCCAGCTGCCGCCAAAGCTTTGATGGAAAACATGTATATAAACTCCCAACAGTTTACCACTAGAAACAATTATGTTCAAACCAAGGGTGTGAATGAAATTCAGGTATCTTCCAATAAAGCTTTAGAAACCATAATTGACAAGCTTACCTCTTTAGTGAAATAGTTAGCCACTCCCCAAGCTACCACTTCTGCATCTTATGGACCTTCATTAGAGGACCTTGTCAAGCAATTGGTTGTTAACAATCACCCATTTCAACAAAGAACAAATTCTAGTATTCAGAACTTGCAGACACAGATTGAACAACTTACCACCTTAATGAATACCATGCAGCAAGCTCAAGGATCGAACTTACTTCCTGCTCAAACAATTGTGAATCGAAAAGGACCTAATGCGAATGTGAGTGCAATTTCCTTGAGATCTAAAAAAGTTACAGAATCAGCCCCATAAAAAAAATAAAAACTTTCTTGAGGTAACACCTGAAACTTCTTCTGTTGTGGTAAAAACTGAAAAAGAAAAAGAGAGAGTGTATGTACCACTAATAATTTTTCCATACATAATAGCTAAAACCAAGAAGATGGATGAGGGAGACAAAGAGAGGGAGATTTTGGATGTATTCGGGAAAGTGATAGTGAACATTCCACTTCTTGATATGATTAAGTAGGTTTCAAAGTACGCAAAACTTCTGAAAGAATTATGCACACACAAGAGAAGGATGAAGGGAAATGAGAGAGTGAATATGGGAAGAAATGTTTCAGCCCTCATTCAACCTAGACCTGTACCTGAAATGACCATTGTTCCAGCCCTTAATCAGGCCATGGTTCCCCATAAATGCAAGGATCCGGGAACTTTCTCTATTCCATGTACCATTGGGGATAGGAAATTCGAAAATTGCATGCTTGATTTAGGAGCAGGAATTAATGTTATGTCTACTTCTGTTAATAATAATCTTGATCTTGGTCCTTTGTAGCATACATGTTTAATCATCCAACTGGCGAACAGGAGAAACACTTGCCCTATTAGAGTGGTGGAAAATGTGCTTGTCCAAGTTAATGATTTGCTTTTCCCTGCAGATTTTTACATTATAGACATGACCGGAGAAACAAATTCAAGCAGATTACCGATCATTTTAGGCAGACCGGTCATGAAGACGGCAAAAACAAAAATTGATGTTGATTATGGAACAATCTCCATGGAGTTTGGTGATACTATTGCTAAATTTAACCTTTTTGATGCTATGAAACATCCTGTAGAAGAACGTTATGTTTTTCACATCAGAGTGCTTTCTGAATTGGTTGATGATACTTATTCTAATTTAATTTCAACTGGTTTTACTGATACTTACTTATGTGATTCTTCCTCTGTTTTTGCTGAGATTGAGGCTTCCCCGTAGGTTGACATTGTTCCTACAGGTAAAGTGATCGATGAAGAAGTTTTTTATGCAACTCTCGACATGTCTATTGCACCAACCACACCATCTATTGGAAAACCCCTTCACTTTGACACTTTCACTTTTTCGAGATCGTTCTTTGATCCCAGAATGAAAGGTGAAAGAACTAAACCAATTTCTAAGGATGATGAACACTACTCGAAATTGCTCCATGAGAACCCCACTTTGGAAGGAGAGACTGTAAAAGATCTCTCACTAGAAAAGGCTGTGTATGCAATCAAATATCCTCCTTAACCACTCCTTAGTGTTATTTCCTTTCTCTCACTCTTATTTAATATTTATGTCATTTCATTGAGGACAA